ATTTATGTTTATATTTTTTTAAGCAATCAAAGGTGACGAAAAAACATGTTTCACATAGATAATAGAAAATAACGTAATTTATATTAAAAAAATATATATTTTTATATTAATGGATACATTAATTACTTTTTTTAATCGTCCGTAAAGTGAACGAAGTTGTCCATGAAGTAACCCAAAATTGTGCACAAAGTACAACTTTTCCGGATCTAATAATTGAATTCGTTCCTGTAACAACTACAAAATTTGATTTATGCTTTTCTATTTTTTAATATGTTATGATAAAAATAGAATCATAGAATCAAAATTAAAGTAATTAGTTTCTCTGGTTAAAAACATGGTCAAAAAAATAGTCATTATTTAAATATACAGGCAGGATTATAAAAAACGCCCCAAGCCATAATTTCATTACTTTTAAAGATGATACAATACTTCTTTAATTAAAGTTGAACAGTTTTTTTGTTATCAATGGTTTACTTGTCTTAGATAAAATGAATAAAAATCGAGATAAAAATGGTCTAGTTTTTGCAGTCTACTTAATTTAATTTAATTTTCAAATTGCCTAAAATCAAGTTAGTGATAAAAGAGAATTTAATGGGGAATCCAAAAATAATAAAGTATACAGGGTGTTGATGTTTCATTTAAAAAACGGAAATTGATGTCACTTCCGGTGAAACAGGAAACAGTATTGATTGAGCATCTATGCCAAACAATAGATCACAAGCAACTACTTAACTTTGTTCTAAGAAGTATTGCTATATCTTTAAAAATAATGGAGTTATGGTTTGGGGCGTTTTTCATAATCCAGCCTGTATAAATAATACTGGCCGACACTAAATTAATTTTTATATTTTTGTACATGCAGTAATACTTGAATTACTTGAATTTTGTTGCTATACTTAATAAAAGTTTTTCATTATGATGTATTTTTGTTGTAAAATATCAGAATACGTAATTATTCTTAATTACAATTTTTACGGTGTATTGAATTTTTTAATATGTAAAACAAGTTTATTCATGAACTGATTAAGAAGAATAAATGGGCAAACAAGTATTAATTTGCTTATTGCGTTTTTATGTTTTTTAAATAAAATTAATCGTTACTTTACCTTAGGTGACTCATTTTTCAAAAGTGACCAAATCAATCTAACCCCATCGAGTTCTTCAATGATTCTCATCGAACTTTCATCTTCTGCACACTCCCTCAACACCATTGGCACATTTTCCAAAAGTGGTGGAAATGTATAATTGAGCAAATTAACAAGATATGGAATTCCATTAACTCGTCTCAAAACATCACGATTATGTTTAAATTTGAGACACTCACAAAGGGCCCCAACCACATTTTTTAAAACCATTTCGTCTTCGTCGGCATTTTCCAGTAGTTTTACCAACACCTAATACATAGTTTAAAAAACTTAGCTTCACTGTTGATATTAAAACAAACTTCAACTGTTTTCAGTTGATCATATCTTTCAACATTATCTGAACTAATTGCAGTCTTCCATATTGCTCCAGTGACGGCAGCAAGAAGAAGTTTGTCTTCTTTGGTTGCCGGATCTCTAGCCATATTCACCAAAGGGTCTAATCCTCCTGCTTGTCGAACCAAATTTCTAGTTGTGGCGTCTTCAGCACACTTAAAAATCGTTTCAGCGCAATGTCGTCTCAAAGAAGGGTCCTATAATTTGTTAAAACATAAAAATAGGATGTTTCAAAAAAATGCACAAATCACTTCTCTGAATAATAAAGTAAAGAAAAAAACAATAGAGCAAAGCCTGCATTACTATTGTACAATATTTCTATTATTAATAATAAAGATGTTAGAAGAATTTAAGTCAAGAAATAAATTTGCACACATTTTGCAAAAATTATCATAATTTATATTCACTATCATAAGCATATATCCCCTGTATAAGAAAAACAATATTTATTTATTTATTGGAAGAAGGTTAACGATAATATAATTTTAGCTCATTTGGTTTTAACAATGCTCATTAAATAAACAGGAAGAATCTACATGTAAAATGTTTTATTTTCTTATTTACGCAGTCGTAAATATCAACATTTTAATTAGGATTACAGCACTTATTCGATACCAGTTTAATGCGGATACATGAAATTGATAAGCTTGACATCATAAATGCACCTTGGAAAGCATTATACAGGATGTTTCAGAACTCGCGCCCTAGAGAAAAATGCCATGTAAAGTAAGATACCAGGAACACGGAAGAAATGTTAAAAAAATCTGTTTATAAAAATTTTGAAGTTATGAGAGTTGCATTTTGACTCTATTTATTTCTGTGGGAAAAATATTTTTTTATATTTTTTGCTGCAGCCTATTAGAGGAAGAAACAAGGAAGCTGTAACCTATAAATTGTAGCTATGTTTAACGTTATTTGTGGCTTTTATTGGCAAAATTTTTGTACCTTTACTAAATAATTATGAAAAAACAGATACAAGAACATTAGGTATATAGACATAAAAAAATATCAAATGTCATAAAATAATGTCAAAATTTTTTGACAGAATTTTTTAAATATTTCCTGGTATGTTATCTTACTAGTAATTTTTCTCTGGGGCGCGAGTTAAGAAACACCCCCTGTATTTTCGTTTTTTTGCTATAGAATTCATAACTTGAAGACAGAAATTCCGTTGAGTTTTAATTAATGACTTAATGACAAAAATCCATTGTAAACAATATAAATACAAGTTGTAATCCACGTTATGTATACTTAAATGGATTTATAATGAGGGAAAACTGACGGATTAATATCACGCAAGACAGAAAAAAAGTGTTTTGTTTAAAAAAAAATTGTCGGTTTTAGTCACAACTATCATCTCTATTTTAATCAAAAATTCAGCTACGATAAGTTATTTTGGAGAAATTGGACAAAATTTTTCCTTGACAATTCTGCAATTGTAAAACTATTTTCTAAGTATTAAAACCTCGAGTTTTGAAAATATGGTAAATGGACCTAGGAAATTAAACCGTTCCGGGGGAGTCTGTTAAAGTCTAGACTTATTCAAATTTAAAAAAAATATATTTTTGAATTTTTTTGATCCTCAGGTGAGAATGAGGTGGAAACGGGTAGTCGTTAAATAAACATTTGTTGTCACATACATATTTCATTCCCGACATTAAAAGTGAAAAAAAAATCGGAGAAATCAGTCAAAATTTGTTCCAGACAAATATTTCCTTATTTTTACACGCATTTTGAAACTGTTTTCCATGACTTTTCTTATTCTTATGTAAAATGAGCCTAGAAATCCGAATATGTGAGAAAAAAATTAAACCGTTTTGTTTGACTAACTAGAATTTGTGAAGTGCTCTTAAATAAAACTTGCAATTTTTGTTTAAATAATTTTATCCGAGTATTATTATAATTTTGAAATTATGGCTACTTACATACTAGTCAGTTTAATTATAAAGTTGTACATACAGGCTGAATATAAAGTATGGAACCAAGCGGTTTTAGTTTTAATCATTTACCTCCAGAAAATAATAATTAATATAAATTAAAGTAATATAAAAAATGTGATCGTATTTTCAGAACGAAATTTTGTTTTGTTTTTGAGTTATGCGATTTTTTTTTGTCAAAATTGCAATTTATGTGAAAACATTTTTTTGAAAAAATTAAATATAAAGCAGATAGTTGTAATCCTTAGAGTATAGCTTTTATAAGAAAAATGATTTTATAGTGGGTTGCCATTTAAAAAAAATATTTTTTTGTAGAACTCAAAAACAAAAGGAAATTTCAAAAAATTTTATTCTTGTTAAATCATCACATTTTTATAGTACTTTATCACTCATCAATAATTTTTTTCAAAAAATAAATAGTTTAAGCAAAATGGTTCCATACTTTTTATTTACCTGGTATAGTTTCTTTTCTACTTTTTTTTAAAATTAGTCAAGAGTTATAAACCTATAAAAAATAATTTTGGCTAGGATAAATAATTTTGGAGGAATCAATTAAAATTTGACTCGGAAAAATCCGGAACTATAAAAATATTTCCTAATTGTTGAAACAGGCGTTTAAAAATGGGTAAATGAATTTTCTTACAAAAGATGCGCCGAAAAATCTAATTTTTTAAAATTTGCGTTAGCTCTTCCTATGAAGTTAATATAAAAGCATAACGTTTTTATATTTGAGTTACAATATGAAAATAGAAAAAAAATTGTTATCTTCGTTTTAAAGTTGAAATTTTTATATGAATTTTATTTTTTTTGTGGAAAGTTATTATTGTATATTTTAGCTTTCGGATTTGAGATTATCACCTGTTTTACAATGTTTTTTTCAAAATGTCTATCATGAAATTTCGGAGATTAAAGTTTTTTTTACACGAATTTTTTAACATTTTTTTATTAATGTGTGTGATATTACCATTATTTTGTTTGTTTTTGGACAGTTTTGTTTTTCTACAATTTCTTAATATTAATTAAAAATGATATAAACACGTGCCATTTATTTTCATGTTCTCTAATATAGGGTAAGTCTACGATCAATATATCACATTTTAAAAATCTGCTCTAAATTATGATCTTTATTTTAATTCAAATCACGTATTCTTGAACGTTGAATACATACATAAAAAAATATATATTCTCATTTGTAAAAATCCATTTCTTCCTCCACTTATTTGTGACTAAGATGGAACACTAACAGTTTCCAATTTTTTCTTAACAATGTTTGCTATTTTGTTGACACAGATTGTATTTATTCATACTTATATAACTTTTGTAAATTTATTCATCTTTATTTTCTTTATATTAACTGTATTTTGCATTTACTGTTTTTGTAATTTTTTTTCTAATTTCCATAGTCTATCTCTCTAGCTAGTACTGCTCTCCCAGATTTACCCTATCTTAGTTTACAAAAAGTAATCGTTTTAATAATTAAAACTATTTTTAATCGAAAAAATACCCACCTCTGCAGACAAATGCTGCACAATATCCTTGATCATGCCTTCGGTCTGAATAGCCAACTGATATGACGGTTCATTGGCACATTGCGAAATGGTGCCAACCGTAGGAACAATAACATCCATATGAACAGACCTGAGGTCACAGTCAAGGTGAAACTCATAACACAGGGCGACAAAAAAAAGTCATGTCGTGACAACTTGACAAATTTTATATCATTGTGTTCGTCTGACAAATCAAATGCACTAAAAAAAATTAAAAAGTCCACACACTTTGAACTAATTTTTTTTTTTCTAATTTAAATGAATTTAAAATACTTTAATTTTAAAAAATCATTACTCAGTAACTATTAGGCCGATTTATTTCAAATAAAGACCATTCTAAAGGGATGGATTTGTCCTTTAGAATGATATGAAATTTGAAATTGAATATTGGCAAACTTTTCTTCGAACAGTGTTCGAAGAAGTTCGAAGTAAATCGAAGTAATCTAAGAAAAACCCTACGAGTAAATTTTTTTTGTTCGTCACCATCGTGTAGAGCATCTTTTTATTAGTAAGAATCCAAATTTTTAAAATAATATACCGAATAGTTTTTAAGATATGATTTTTTGAAGTTAAGGTTTGCTGTTCAGGTATTGCGCCATATAACATATGCATGTTAATCTTACTTAAAATTGCATTTTTTTAAAAGTATTTGTTTTAAAACTCTTCTTTTGTTTAAAAATGTTCAATTGCACCTTCTTTGTTCTAATTAGAATAAACAAAAACAGTTTCTTTACTTAAAACAAACAAAGAGTACTTGCGTACTAATTAAAGCAAATAAAGAGTTTTTTTGTTTCAAAAATGATCACTGATCATTGAGCAAAAAGGATCTAGAAGTTTAAAGCAGTAACTTTAAATATAAGAACAAATCTTTTTCAAATTAAATGACTTTCCATTCAGATTCCAATTTGTTCACTTTGTTGTAGCATTCTGAACTTTTTTTTGGAAAATGTTCTCAGCAAATGCTTTCTCATCACTTTCTACTTATGTTGAATGTAATAAGTCAGTTGCTTCGTGTGCAACTGTTATCACAACAACTGCTACCTACAAGCTAACTGAAGCTAATCGTAGAATGTACCAACAAAATAAATCAGGTAACTTATTGCATTTAACATCACTCGAAAGTGATGAGAAAGCATTTGCTCAGAACATTTTCAAAAAAAGTTCAGAAAGCTAGAACAAAGTGAACAAGTCGAAATCTGAATGGAAAGTTTTTTGATTTGTAAAAGATTTGTCCTTATATTTAAGGCTCGTGCCTTCTAAATCCTCTTTGCTCAATGATCAGTGGTCATTTTTACAACAAAAAAACTCTCAAATTGCATATTATTCTAAAGGGCAAGTCTACCTCTTTAGAATGGTCTTTATTTGAAAGAAATCGGCCTAATAGTTATTGAGTAATGATTTTTTAAAGTTAAAGTATTTTAAATTCATTTAAATTAGAAAAAAATTATTTCGTTCAAAGTGTGTGGATTTTTTGAATTTTTTTTAGTGAGTTTGATTTGTCTCACTAAGACGAACAAAACAATATAAAATTTGTCAAGTTGTCACGACATGACTTTTTTTTGTCGCCCTGTGTAATTCCAAACACATTTACCTGAGTAGTTTCGCTAAAAGCGGAACAGAACCGCTTCTCATCATCACCTGAATGTTCTTCCTGCTTCTCGACACCGACCATAAAGCTTTCGCCGCCGCTTTGGCAATGTTAACATTTTCCAGTTCGTCAGGAGTGAGTTGTTCTTTAGGAGTTTTGAGGCAGTTTTCGTTAACATCTAGAAGATCGACAAGTTTAGGGATACCGTCGAATTTTCGTACGTGTTTGCGGGCTTTGCGTATTTGGGCCACATTGTAGATGGTTTCGGCGACTAGGATTTGTAAGTCTCGAGCTGGATCGGCTAGGTTGTGGACCAGGAGGGAGATTCCGCCTAAATCGGTGATGCAACGACGGATTTGCTCGTTTTGGGAGAGTTCGCTTAAAACGCTCAAAGAGCCAAGTTTGCATTTCAAGTCTTTGGTTTCAAGGAGATTTATTAGGACTTCTAGACCACCGATATCCTAAAACAAATTTTGAGAACTATACTGTTTACTTGCAATTGAAATCCAAACACCCTCACGAATAAAATTTTAGATTAAAATATCGTAACAACACGACAAAATTACACTTTTTTGGAGAGTTATTTGTTTAAAGATTTTAAGAACATGTACCTACATGGCTGTTTTCTCTTAAATAACAGCAAGCCAAAATTGGCACCAAAGATGGAAAAAAGATTTAAAGTGATGTTTTTTTGTTTAAGTAATTTGAACGAAATACTAAAAATAAATTACCCCTCGAGACATTTTTTTCAAGAAAAATGCAGTGTTTACAAAAAATAACCACTTGAGTTTTTTTAATCTTTTTAATAATGACTACTAAAATAGCATTGCCAAAGCACCTCAGCATTCATAGTATGACTTATTTCCGATTTTGTAAAAAAACTAAACAAAAATAATGTGTTAAAATGCCCTGCTGCATCTAAATTTAAGCTGTAACAATTTCAGTGGATACAATTATTTTTTTCAAACACCAATTGATGCTTTAGATTTTATTTTTTTAATTTTTCAATTTTGATTTTTTTGCTTTAAAACTGTTGTTTCTTTTTTCTTAGTTGAATCTTTTCTTTCTCTACTTTCTCTTTCATTTTCCAGTAGAGTCCATTCCATAATCATTACTTCATTTATAACCAATATGTTCAAACGGTTTTTTTCTATTTTTTGAATTTTTTTTGTAATCATCTTTTATTAGGCCAATGGAATTTTTTATATTTTCACAAATATCTTCGAGAATTGAATTAGCAACATCTGTCGGGATATTTGTGATATTTTGTAGAGGATTTTGTAAAATATCTTTAGCAGATATTTTATTTTATTTATTTTTATTTATCTAATTTAGCGTATTAGAAAATATTTTCATGCTTTCAGTTGAATACTAATTTCGGAAATAACTTTCTTGTGCAATTCACTTCTTTTTCTTTTTTTACATAGATTTTTTTTCTTACTCATGTTTATCTACTTATTATTATTATTATTTCTTTTTTAAGCAATTTCCTTGCTTTTCTTTTTTTCTCTTTTTCTAGCCGATTTTTGTTAGTTTGTGGACCATCAAAGTTGTTTTTTTTTATATCTTTACCAATTTCTTTTGGATTTGTATTAGCAAATCCGATGCGTCATTTGTGATATTTTGGAAAGGATCTTGTGCAATATTAGTATTCTTTGTATCCTTGTTAATTATTTTTTGATTTGTCGAAATCTGAGTATTGAATTATTTAAATTATTTAAACACCCTAAATCTAAACTAAAGTAACACTAATGCTTCATACAACGGAAATTTTTCAAATGAAATCATTATCTTCCTATTTTAAGACGAATTCCATTTTTTAAATCCAGTTATAAAGAAAAGAAATTACTTTTTTGTATCCATTGGGTCTATAAAACAGCGAAAACAGTCAATTATTCTTAAAATTTTAGCTATAGATAGATGTCACAAATAAAAAATATGCTCTAGGTATTTGGATTTCAAATATTGTTGGTTGGGGTACCTGGATGGCCATTTGATTGATTTCCGTTGTGAGATCGTGATCTTTTAAACAACATAGTGAAATAACAGTGGCAGTTTGATTCCCTGATTTCATGTATTTGACAAGTTTTTGTATATGCCAATATTCTGGAGGTATTTCAGGCTTTGGGCGTTCTCTTTGTTCATCTTCGGATGATGTTCTAAAATATTAGTGTTCAAAAAAGTTAAATCGTTTGTGTCTTTCTTACTCAGCCACTGAAGAATCTTCACTATCGGAAAGTTCTTCAACGATGAATTCTTTTGGTCCTTTGATTGTACCATCGTCAGATGCAGTATCTTCCGACATTTTTAATGTTTCTTTTTTGATTAATAGAATGTCATAAATGTGTCAAACTTTTCCACCTGGAGCTTTCAATAGTACAACAAAATCAGAAACCAGGAAATTTTATGATTACTACATTTTTACGTAATTATTATTTATTTCGAACGTAAATAATTAAAAACAATTATGTGAGAAGAAAAAAGTTTGGAGCAAAACAATAAACAATGCTCTTTATAATACGTTATAAAAATAATTTGCTAATACAAGGTTCAATTTTAAATTTTTGTTTTCTTCCAAAATACGAAGATAAAATTAAAGAATCAAATTAATATTAACTTAGTTTTAAATTTTTTTAAAAATTGTTTAAATATTTACTTCAAAAATATTTAATAAATACAAACGATAATTTTTAGTGGTGTTGTAGAAATCTTTTCCATGTGAAAAACCTCCAAAAAATTAATGGAGATTTGTTAACAAGTTGTAAATAACTTACCGGAAAAAAATTGTTTCTAATTAGACACATTATTTCATTTTTAATTAGCGGCAGCTTGTTATCTAACCGGATCTTTACAATTATTATTAACAAAAGTGAAACAATTAACGAAACACAAAGTATGTAGTGTATATCATGCATTTGAAAATTAATTAATAATGAAAATATTTACCACATTACTGCACTTTTTACGAATACTCCCAAGTCGGTTTCTAAACCTATGACACCTTACCTACTTTTGTTGATTTTTTGAAAAGATTTCAAATAAATTAAAATACAAACAAAAATTGAACTTTGTAGTTGTAAAATCAAAGTTTAATTTATTGTTACTGATTTTATGAAATTTTCAATTTTTGTGTAAAATGTGGACTATCTGATATCTCTTTTTCATAGGTATTGGTAAATTTTGTAAAATTAGTGAAAAACTCATAACTACTGTAAATTGGTCTTTAAAAACTACATTTTCACGTTTTTAATTAAAAAGGTGAATTAAAGGAAGTTTATCCACAATCACTCTATAAAGAGACTTTATTCCACACTTTAGATGCGTATAAAGTACCACTTTATCCATTAGTGGAATAAAATAACTTTATTCCACTGTTAGTAACCAGCGCAACGCGTAACAGCTTACTACGTTTAACCGAAATCACATTTGGCGTGACGTTTAAATGTCAGTTTAATTTTTAATTAAGTTTGGAATAATTTGGGCCTGTGATAGTGGATAAAACGTTATATTGCAGTCGTGTGTTAGTCGCGTTTTATCCACTTAAGAAAATTAACAGCTCGAACTGACGTGGGTGGATAAAACGCTATCTAACACACTCTTACAATAAATAACTATTGTTGATTCATTGAAAGTCCACTTTTTCTAATGATAAAGTGACATGGATCTTATTATCATATCTTATCTTATTAAATATAAAGCCCAATTCTGTCTTATTTACGAAAGTCTGGAAATATTTTTAACATCTTTTTCCGTTTTTGAAACTGTTGTACCTCTTATTTTTCATTGATATAATGATATGATTAATATGAGATTTATAACTTTCTATTAAGTTCTATTAGTTATGATTTATTGTGTTAACATCTCGATTTAAAAAACGGTAATCAGAACTGACAGCTTGGACATCCGTTCATAATGTAGGTATAGTTTATAGAGATTTTTGAAGAACCTTAAGGACAATTATAAAGAACTTGTGTCAAGTTTGACTTCGAATGTTGCTATAATTGGAATTCACATGTCATTAGATTCTTTTTTTTTTCAATCTCACTTATTAGACTTTTTATCAGGAAATTCAAGCGCTTAGATTAACAGACCTGATGAATTTAGAGCGCAGATACCAACTACTGGAATAAAAATATATTGGCCGACTATTGTTGATTCATTATAAAAAGGAACGATGAAAAGCTGTACAAAAGAAAAAAATACTAGATACAAAACATATTTAATTTTCATTGTATTCAGGCTACATGCACAAAATTCATATTTTTATATGTCAATTTTTCAAAAAAATTCTCTAACAGGTGGATTTTATTTTTATAAAAGCTACATTTTGACAGTATTGTTATGTAATAAGTACATTCTTCTATCTTTTTAAAAGAAAATATTACCAAAAACAGTAATAAAAAATTCTGGTTACCATTTAAAAAAATACTGATAACGTCGTTACTTGAAAATCATTGACGTTATAAATAATACCAGTAGTATAATGAAAATGTATCATTTACGAAAATAAAATCGATCTTTCGAGGATTTGATTAATGAATGAATGACATTTCAATAGCTACTGTGATTTAAATTTAATAATCAAAAATTTTTCAAACAAAACTAAAGCTAAGGATCTGTGAAAATGTATTTTAAGTTGCGTCTGAAAATCGGTCACGCTCTTTATTATAAATGACTGTATAATATTTTTGCTCACAGGTGTTAAATAATTTTAGTTCTCATTTTTTTAATATACAAAGTGAACAGGAACCATTTTTTTAAATCATTTGTTTTCACTAAATAACTATTAACAAAAATTAAAGTTCTATTAAAAATGAGATGCGATTTTTTTTTCAAAATGGCAACATATTTTTTTTTCTAAAAAATATTGAAAAAAATGTAGATAGTTGTAATTCGTAAACCCTATATAGCCTTTAGAAAAAAGCAGGTTTTATTTGCCAATTGAAAAAATTTAAAATTTTGCTCGAAACTTGAATTTTAAATATTTTATTATTCAGAAACGTTATATGTTTAGAGCACTTTGTCATTCATCAAGTAGTTTTTTTTTTTAATACATAAGTAGTTCATAAAAACACTTTAATGAAAACAATTCTTAAAACTTCGTCGTCATCGTCAACAAACATTTTTGTTTGTTGTTGAAAGAAGAAAGCTAGATTTATGATAAATTTTAAATTTTGTTAAAGAATTACAACGAATTTCTTGGGTCTTAACTCAAGTCGTGGAAAAAATAGTATATACACCACTGGAGAATTGCCATTATTTCTTTGGTGCTTTATAAACGGCACCTCAGTTTAAAAGAGTATAAATCAGTAAAAAAAACGAAACTTTATTTCCTGTTGGAAGGAAAATTCATTTTTGTATACAATTTTAAAATATTTGTTTTCAGTAAAATTTTTACAAGAGAACAATTTAAAAATTAGACAAATATTAGACAATAAAAAACTACCTACGAATATTTAGAATTAGAAATTAGAAAAAGTGTTTTAGAGCTGCCGATAAAACTTGAAATTTTTTTTCGAACAAATTTTTTAGGTCTAGAACAAATTTTGAATTTTTTTAAAATCACCAAAAATCATAGTAAACGGTTATTAACCAGTTTTTTTCCAATTAGCAATTTTACCCGTTAATTAATAAAATTACAAAAACGTTATTAGAAAACAGAGATCCAATTTTAAAATCTCGTTTTTGTTTCCAGTTTCGGCGAAACGTATCCGACATCACAAAACCACATCATGACGATAAATTTCTCCTGCGATGGCTAAGAGGTAACTCAACTTGCAAACCTTCATTTATCATATAATTCACTTCCTTTATTTAGCTCGTTCTTGGGATGCGGAAGCGGCGGAAAAAATGCTCAGACAGGTTGATAAATCTACCGTTTAAATTACTGACCAATAATAATTTTTCTAGTCTATGAAATGGCGTCAGCAATGGGAGGTCGATGGAGCCTTAAAGACTTGGCAGCCACCGGAAAGTCTCCTTAATTTTTACCCATGTGGAGTCTGTGGTTACGACAAAGACGGAGCACCTGGTCTCATTTACGCAAAATTTTATTAAAATCTGTTTAACAATTTCAATTGCAGTGATAATTGTTCCTTTCAATGGTCTAGATATGGTCGGGATTTTACACGCATTTGGCAGAAACGACTTGATTAAATTAACCATACAGACTTTGGAAAGGTTTATGGAATTGGCGGCCGAGAAAGGGGGCCATAAATTTGTTGTCATTTTCGATATGGACGCATTTAATATACGACAATACGCCTGGCGACCAGCTGCTGAAGTTGTTGTCTCTTTGGTACAAATGTACGAAGCGAATTATCCTGAAATTTTGAAAGCTTGCTATATTATTAATGGTGACGATGTAAAAAACATACTTGTTTCAATGCTAAATGAGTTTTTTTTTTAATTTCAGCTCCAAGAGTTTTTGCTATTGCTTTTAATGTGATAAAGAGATTTTTGAACGAATATACTTTAGGGAAAATACAAATTTTTAAAAATGATCCGAAAAAGTGGAAAAAAGCCGTACTTGCCAACATCGAACCCGACAATTTGCCACAGCATTTCGGGGGTACTTTGAGTGATCCTGATGGGAATCCCCGGTACACAACCAAGGTGCGTATTTACAGGGTGTCGCTTAAAAACACATTAAAAAAGAACATAATTTTGAAAACTCAATTCGCGCTATTGGTGTGACTTAGGTTGAGATTGGTTAGTTCTTTGAAGTGAAACAAAATCGGACTACAATATTTTTTCTGGACGTTTAAAAATTTCTCATATTTCTTGGGTAGAAAGATTATTTTTCCATGTAATCAAGTTTCTTAATTATTGTGAAAATTTTGTAGTCAACATTTCTTTAAGTTAAGTGCATAAATAGTTTTCTAACCACACTTTTTTGGACTTCAGAGTTTAGTTTTTCGTTTTACGCACCTTTGCTTAATTAATTACAATTTGACGAACAATTTTTTTGTTATAGGAGTATTTTGATAAAAATAGTGCAACAAAAAAAAACGTTAATTTTTAATTAGCATTTAAACATAAAGATTTGAATTCAAGATAAATAAAATAACAATGAATTTAATTCAAGTTCTAAGTTTTGTGCAGTAAAGTGTACTTTGGAAAATGATTTTATTACACTTAGATCAATTAGTGTCAAATAAAGGAAATTTAACTTAGTAGGTACACCTGTCATTTCTAGGCCATACTAACTCTAAAACACAGACTCTAAAAATTGGTAAAGTTAAAGATATTTTGCTGCTATTGTCAAGTTGAAATTAGTCTGTTTTTTTTTAATGGAAATTACCAAATCAAGATTTTGGTGAAAAAATTGGTATCTCCAATAGCTTATCTCCATAGACACAAATTTTGTTTGATCTTTGTTTTTGTCCTAGGAAATTTTGTTACAAAATTATGGTTATGTTTTCAAGTTGAGATGTTGTCAAAATTTTGACTTTTATGAATCTTGTGCGCCTAATTTCTTTTGAAAACGCTATAATTGAATACCTGAGGACAAACATCATTACCTAAGGTCTAACGACAGAATTCAGTACTAATAATTTTGTTAGAAAAACACCGCAAGTAAGTACATTATTGTGGAAAAAAATTGCTACAAAAAAAACTTTAATGAAAAGGGATGTATATACAGAAAAAAACATATTTAGCAAAAGATACAAGTAGGTATTATGATGATTGGCAATAAATTTTGTGTAATTTTTTTTTATTCTCACCTGAGGATGACCACTTTGTAGTTGAAACGCGTTGTGTTTTAAATAAAAGTTTGGTGTGACGAGTTAATCGTGTTTTTGTTCATAATTTATTGAAATGAGCTCAAAGTTGATGCATTTTCTAAATTCTTCAGTCTGTTCCAAAATTGTTACTTTTTCAACTCGTTCCTCAAAAATGATGCACAATACACTAATTTAATTGAGTTCATGAGGTTATTTCTCATTCATTTTTATTTTGTATTCTCGTCAATTTCTTGTTAAAAATTGAAAATGTTTAACAAACCTGCATTACAAATTGTGTCTACATTTTAACGGGCTCTTTTTCTGACTTCCTGCTTGCGAACTTTTCGTTTCTAAATTTCTAAAAACTGTTAGCGGTACCGAATTTGCTCCTTTTTTGGTGTTACCGTCTCTAAATTTTCCTAGATGATTTTTTGTGTTGACGTTTAATGACATTGTTTTCAAATTAATTCACAAAACCGGAACTGCCAACTTCCTTTATTAAAATTACCATGAATGAATTTACTAGTGGTGCCAACGTTAAGACTGTTGGCATTTTCAAAAAAACAGACTTTATATTTGCCTCTATTATGCTTCCATATTTGAGATTTATCATTTAACATTTAATTTAAAAATTTACATTTAAGAAGATCAATTATGCATTTTCAATGGTAACATTTATACCATCATTTTACATTTAAACTTTAACATTTAAGATTTAATTTAATTTAAGAGTTCCTAACTTTTATCTTTTTACGTTAAGTGTGAAATAAAATTGATAAAATCTGTGATTGTCAGAACCTTATCATTACTGTCTTTAATCACACTTGGAAAGTAAAACTTTTCTTCAAAATAATAATAATTAATATGGAAGATGTTGCATTCGTCGAAACTGTTAGAGAATATAGTTTATAGACTGTCACAAATCGTCACTAATGTAACAAATGTTTGTGTAAAATACGAAATTTACATCGATGTATCCTTAAATAAGCACTTTTTGGTTAATTTAGAGGTATAAATTCGAAAATTTAGTAAAATGTCAAATTCGTTAATTCTTAAATTGAATCTTACGAGTAAATGATAAATTTTAAATATGGAAGCATAAATCCACCATTAAAAACTCGCTCATAATTACAAACGCTACAAATGATTTTAGAAGTAATTTTTTTAGATAACATTTTTAGTATTAGTTGCCAATAAAAAACACTGGAAAAGAAACAGTATCAAAAATATTATCCCACTTTATGATAAATGATGTCCAAAGGGACATTTTAACATTTTTTTTAATTTAACTGATTTTGTTATAGACAAATTAGTCTAAAAATCAATGATATTTTTTAATCATTGTCAAAAGATTTAAGAACCTGCCGTAAACCTTGAATCAAAGGGAGTTTGAAATTAAATTGCAATATTGAAAAATGTAAAGAAGCTTAAAATGCTGGATACTAGCCTACCTACTTAGACTTGTCAATTTTTGTACGAAATCAATTAGTAATAATTACGACAAAAAATTATTTTGGCAACACTGAATTGTTGGTCATGTTAGATGGGTTCAGGTGAGGGTCATGTCAGCAGCCGTGATGCAGTTTAAATTCAAAATCACGGGCCACTTTAATCAGAAATTTAATTGAACACATGGTAGTTTTACCAGCGATATAATCGTCGAAAACACTTTGCGAAATGGTATTAAAATTATGCGAAAATACAATCTGTTTATTTTATCATTGATAATTTTCAGTGTCTTTATATTAGTAAAATTATACTTACCAATTTACAGATAAACCAAGGCGGTAAAGTCCCCAAAGAAATGTACAAAACAACTTTCGACATTTCGTCAACCACTCGTCATTACACAACAGCCGTCATCAAAAAAGGCGAAAAGTTAAAACTGGATTTTATTGTAGTTGAAGAAGGAAGTTTCTTGAAGTATTTTCCAAAATTTTCAGTGTTGTTTTATACAGGTTTTTTAATTTTTTAGATGGGAATTTCGCACAGAAGCACACGATATTCGATTCGGTATCAGTATGATAGATGCTGAAGGCCAAGTCACTCCAGTTATCCATCACAAACGCGTAGCAGCACACCAGATAGACGAAAGCGGTGTCATAGCGTGCCAAGCACCAGCTACTTGTATACAAGTCCATTATTTCAACAATCAATCAATAATTTAAATATTTCAGATACTGTGACTTTTGACAACACCTACAGTCTTCTCAGAAGCAAAAAAATTCACTATGAGATCCACATCGCCCCTCCATTGGGCAAACTTGATATTTTACCAAACGAAGATGAAATTAATGGGAATGTTAAAAATGAAGTCGCTACAACAAGTGCTCAATCTAATGATATTATATGATTTATTGTTATGGAAATATAATAAATTGGTTATTCATCAGTAAATAACAATTCTAGGAGTTCAAGCTTCTCACATTGATCCCCTTCAAGTCTTTGGGGTTCCTCCCAGCGCAAAACTGTTGGCAAAACCATCAATTTTGTCTTCTTATCTTTCCTAAAGGGACAATTCATGTCTTTCCAACTGAAAATCAAAGCTTTTTTCTTGTTTTTTTCTTAATTTAATATACTTACAAGGGCCTGTCTCCAACTTCAACATAAATAAAATGTCCTTTATACTGTGTTTTCTCTAAAGCTTGTTCAATCACAGGAGCGGCTATAAATTTTATCAGTTAATTGATTTTATAAAAAAATGACAAACTTAACCTCATTTACCTCGGACACAATCATCGCACCAACTCTCCCCCGATGGTAATTTCGAACCCCCAAAATAAATGTGTACCAACTCGCCCTTCCTGTCGAAGTTTTCGATAAATTTGCAAAAGTTGTCGTATCCCTCTACGTGGTATTTTTTAACCATTTTGTTGTCAACTAAACGAATAAATTGATGAATTGAGGTTAAGAGGTGGGGGCGTATACTTGTCGATGTCGATATCTTATCTGTTTCGATTTAAACTGTAGATAATTATTTTCTCTGCTTATGTGGACTAATGAAATGTTTCTTAAATTGATTAATAAATACTAACCTAAAAACTAAAATCATTTTTGAAATTCTCCCATATTTTTCTAACATGGCCTACTTCATCTGTCTTCCGCTGCGCAGTGGAAGACAGATGAAGTAGGCCATGTTTTCTAATGTTTGTGACCACTGAACTCATATATATATATAGAATTTCGTTTGGGCTTGGTTTGTGTGTAACATACATAACCTCTGCATGTGTTTACAAGAGACAAGGCTTGTGATTGGTCGATTCCTATTGTTTGTGACAGTCGACAACTGTCACATTTTCTGACCGTAATTTTTCCAATTTTTAAGTGTGTTTTGTACTGTTTTTACAATAAAACGCTATGGTTAATTCTTATGTAGTGTGCAGAATCCGCTAAATCTTGGATTTCTTTCCACAAGTAAGTAAACTCACAATTTGTAAACAATACATAGGCGTAGAATGAGGTTTATAAGAAGCAAATTTTTGCCATGAATTATAGCTTTGTTTTATTAAAATTTTTCACGAAAGATGTATATTACTTGCAATTTTACATTTGTTTTTTATAGGTTACCCTCAGGTGAAACTTTGAGACGTTAGTGGATCAATGCTTTGGGATTAGGAGATTTCGTTTTGACKAAATATACATATGTTTGCTSAAAACCCTTTTTTTATATAATAAATGTATTTCCTAATTCAATTACGTCCTAATAAACGTCTCCTTTTTTAATTACAAAACGAGCCGCCACTGGTACGGTGGGCAAAGTAAACAAAATACATGGGATTTTATAGGTTATGTATGCTTCACACAATCTATACAAGCTCAGCATAGAACGCCATTTCTATTAATACGAGTTCAGTGTTTGTGACACTGTCAAATTGGCGGGTATTTTACTTCAAAATCAAAATACTGAATCCAAGAGGACGAGTTTTTGAGCACCTAATTTCAAGTTCTAGTTTTTTTTTTGTGGGTACTGAAAATTCTTCGTACGAGCGTTAGGCGTCGTAAATAAAATCCCTTAAGGGCACAAGTTTTGCCCCACTCTTCCAGCCAATTAAAAAGCGAATAATCAGGACACACACGATGTCTCTATGCGTACGTTTAAATATGTGCAGCAGTTATACAAGGTGATTCTTTTAGGGCCTATATTAGAAACTTTTTAACTTCTAATGCAGATAGAAATGTGAAATTTTCTACACAACTCAAATCGACCAGTCTAAGTTCAATTAAATTATTTTCAAAATGGCTGAACTTTGAGAACTACGAGAAATTGGCGTCAACTTTGAAATTTTAAATGGTAACCACTTATTTTTATTGCATTTTTGAATTCTCCTCTCCAAACTGAGTAAAATGTAGTTGTTAGTACTTATCTGTCATAGTTTTTGCCATATGTCAATTTTTTGCTCAAAATTGTCATTTAAAAACATCACAGCTTGAACCGTTTGCGATAAGTGAATAATTTTTTTTGCATTCGATAACCAAAGGTTCGAAGAGTTTCCTAAAATTTTCAAAATTGTCAACTGTCAAATTGCAAAGCTTTTATGATTTTTTCAAAATGATATTTAACAAACAGCTATAACTCAGTTTTTTCATATAAAATGACCCCATTTTCTCAACGGCAAGCGAAAGTACATCGATTTCTAGAAGGACTTTTATCAACATGTCCTATACCCATCTCTTACAGTTTCTAAAATAATCACGAAAAACATGTTTTTTACTTTTTATTTGTATAGTTCATCACGTAGGCTTTCGAAAATGATCAATACGTATTAAAAATTTAGTCTACACAGCACCCATCCGGAATTACGAAGAATTGAGGCAAGGATTGAGGCGGAATTTAATAATCTTCAACCAAATGAAATAATGGAAGCCACTCAATCAGTTCACCATCAAGTTTTGCACTGTTTGAAAATGGTAAACATATCAAACATCTGTAATAATCTGTATATCTTTATTGCATTTTTCCAAAGCCTACGTGATTAACTATAAAAATAAAAACAATATCATGTATTTCGTGATTATTTCAAAAGCTGTAAGAGTAAGTATGGGACATGTTGATAAAGTCCTACAAATTGACGTTCTACATTTGATTGATGTTGAGAAAATAGAGTCATTTCATTTGAAAAAACTGAGTTATAGCAGTTTGTTAAAAAAATCATACTAGCCTTGTAATTTGACAGTTGACAATTTTCAAAATTCTAGAAAACTTTTCGAACCTTTGGTTATCGAATCCAAAAAAAAATATTCACTTATCGCAAAGGGTTCAAGAGCTGTGATGTTTTGAATGAATCCCTGCAAGTGAAAATTTTGAGTAAAAAATTGACATATGTTATAAACTATGACAGATAAGTACTAACAACTAGGTACATTTTACTTACTTAAAAAGGAGAATGCAAAAATGCAATAAAAATAAGTGGGTACCATTTAAAATTTCAAAGATGGCGCCAGTTTCTCGTGGTTCAGACTGGTTGATTTGGGTTGTGTACAAAATTTCAAATTCCTATCTGCATTAGAAGTTAAAAAGTTTCTAATGTAGACCCTTGTATACTGCGTTTCAAAATGATTGACATCTCAGTAGGTCATGGAAATTCAGATTTAAGGTGGTAACATTTGTACCGTGCGATCGAAAAAAAAAATTAGAGTAGGCGTCGATTAAATTCTACAGTTGGCAACACATTGGCTGGAAATTTTCCACACAAACTGAAAGTGAAAATGACCATTCACCGTTTTCGTTTTGTATAGCAATAAAAATTTTCTGCTCTAAAGTGAACATTATTTCACTAAAAAGGAATAAATAAAACGCAAACTTGTCAAAGTTTCCGCTGACATTTGATGTCAAAAATCAGGATTGCCATCTGAAGGACTTTAATTATCGCCTACTCTAATTTATTTTTTTTTTTCGAACGCACGGTACTTTGGAGTTCTAGGTTGTTCATTTTTGTACGATTGCACCCACTGAGATTGAAAATATGTCAATTTCAAAATTTGGGACAATTGTCGCTTTTAACAGATTTTCTGCTTTTTCCACGTTTATTCATTTTAGAAAACTTGTCTTTTTCAAGACAAATTTTTCTGAATATCTTTTTACTAAGCGAAGTTTTAAGATCAACAACGCCAGGACGACAAATCTTTACTTCATCTCACTCAAAGAGAACGCCGTACGAATATAATTGTGATTCCCAGTTGGCTGCTTCATAACTCTTTACCTCGAGGACTCAGTCCTCAGGTTAAACAGAGTGCGAGGGTGTAATGTAATTTCCATTAAAATTTGTATATTTTTTTCAGAAACACATTTTGTTTAAATAATAATTAAATATCTGTGTGGTGCGTTTTTAAAATTTGTTGACTGCGTAAGCTTGATAATCGTACATAAATTACCTCCTGACCAAGGGATGTAATAATGTATTTACCGACCTTAGGATTCGACATATTACTATAGTGATTGTGAATAATAGTATATTACATACCAAGTACAGTACATTACATTCCTGCGACATCAGTTTGCCGTTCTCTGCTAATGAGCACAAATTTTCAATGTTATAGCTAATCGTATTTATGGATACATATCAAACTAATTCATGAATGATAAAGTACTATAAAAATGCGACTTTTTGTCATGAATAAAATTATTCAAAATTTTCTTTTGTTTTTGTGTTCTACAAAAAAATTTATTTTTTCAAATGGCAACCCACTATAAAACCATTTTTCGCATTAAGGTTATGATTTAAGGATTACAATTATCTAATTTATATTTAACTTTTTCAGATTTTTTTTTTACATAAATTGCAATTTAGACAAAAAAATCGCATAATTCAAAAACAAAACAATTTTGTTCTTAAAATGCGGTCACATTTTTTATATTACTTTAATTTATATTAATTTATAAGGAGGCAAATGATTAAAAAAACACTCTTGGTTCCATACTTTATATTCACCATGTGTATCTATCAACCGATGGGATTACCATCAATGTCAAGAGATTATTAATTCATTTTATCATCATGTGTTAATGTTTTTCCATCACTAGAAATAAACACTGAATTCTTATGTTTAAAGTTACTTTATTCCACTGTTATAAAAATAGAGCAATAACTATCACAAATTATTAACATTCACATTGACATTTATAGATAATTTAAGTTCGTTGTCATTCAAGCGTATTTTTGTTTCTTCATTTCTGGAACATGTAACATTTGGCACCGAAGAACTAGAAGACTCCTCTTGAATCTTCTTTGCTATATCGAGTTTATTTGATATGGAGTCTTCAATGTAACTTTCTGTTATTTGTGAAGAGCGCCACCCACTGTGTCGCTTAATTGTTGTTTTTACAGAGGCTTACAGCATTAACAGAAAATTCCTCTTCGATAATCTTGAACTTCCGTGAAATATTTGTCTTGGTGTCAGGTATTGTAACCAATAAATATGAGCCAGTGTCTTTTACATTATCAATCTCCAAGTTTGTCAATTCACAACTTCTACAAGCACCAGCGACACCCAGTATTAAAGCAACTTAAAATAATTCAAAATTTGTATCTAATATTGCCAAAAAAAAAAACAAAGATTATCTTAATCATCAAATATTGGTCATCGGGAGCAAATTTTTCAACCTTTTCTCTTTCCAATACTTTTGATTTTCTTACTTTGTATCCTTTAGAAACACTTTTTAAAAAAGCCCTCAATTTGCAGTACTTTGAAACGTCTATATTTTTGTGCACCCATATAGTAGCTTTTAGCATTGAATATTTGCTCCACATTGATGAAGGCGCGTACTTTTTTTTATATGTAAAAAATGTCCTCTGCGTTAATTGACAGTAATAAAGTCTGGGCCGTCATCTGCGTTGATTGACAGTAATAAAAGTCTGGGCAATGCCAAAAAATGGCCGTTGGGGTAGCGACGAGTCCCGCACTCCAATGGAATCTGTATATTTTGGTTTGAAACCTTGATAAATTTTTGTATACAAAAATTTACTTTTGTGTTTTATGGGTTGTATAATAATTTTTTGTTGTTTGTGTAGGAAAATTCACTAGACGGGTGTCCCAGAATATGCACTTTATTCAGTTTTAATAATAATTAATTAACAATGAATGAAAACGAGTGACAGGCTGCTCTCGCATCGTGGCCAACATGTAGCAAATACTACTTAGTTTTGCTGATATCTTAGAGATGTGTTGTTCCCACGACAGGTTCTGATCAAGTACTAGGCCGAGAAAATTCGTATTAGGATCTAATTTAGAGAAGAAACCAAAATTGTTCAACGATTCATTTTTTGATGTATCCGCCTTTTTGTGTTGAAATGAAATACATTTGGTTTTATCAGCATTAAGTCGAAGGTTGTTACAGTTAAACCAATTCTGTAATTGTGGAAAGAGCTGTTTCATTTTTTTGATTGCATCATGGATATTTTCCCCACAAAATAGTATACTGGTGTCATCCGCATAATTTACGAGACTCATATCGCCCCCTTCCAAATTGTATATCAAGTCATTGATGTACACTATAAACAATAAAGGCCCCAGAATACTACCCTGTGGCACCCCCAGAGTCACTTCTTTTCAGATGACAAAAACTCACCTCTGCTGTTTTTTATCATTACCTTTTGCGTACGACCACCTAAATATGACTCC